CCACAGACCTGGAAAGCTTCAACTAAGTTTACTTCAGCTTTGCTCTCTAGGAGCCTCTGTCTGCATAACCATTTGGACTTTATAGTGCTTATTAACAAATACTCCTCTGCCCTTTGTGCCCATAAGTGATGCTGCGGCTCGAAGGACCTTTCAGTGCTGTGTTTGAAGGTTCAGATTTGGCTCTGCTGCTTTCAGCAGGCACCAGAGAGTCTTTATGTGTTAGTTTTGTGCATCTTCTTTTAATTGAGATTTCTCTTTTAACTGCTTCAGTTTTCCCAGTGAATCCTTTTCATTCCACAGAGCTGGAGCAATTATTTCTTAGCTCTGCTCTTGATACAGCTGGAGTGCTTCTGGGTTATTATCTATGGATGTCTTTCCTGAAATGATGGGATAGACCATTATATCTTACCTGCAATCATAATTAATCCCAGCAAAATGGCATTGAATTGCTCAATGGTAAAGTGCATCATCACTCCCCTCCATCCTCCAGCCCAGGGCTTAGAGAAGAGAGAGGACAAAGCAGTGCAAGCGGTGGATGTGAAAATATTCCAGATTTTAGTCTTCAGCCTCTGGACCAGAGGGGGTTTGTGTGTGATTGTTCTGACAAAGCATATAGCTTTCGCAGGAGGGTTTCTTAAATCTGTGCGTTTGCACAAAATTAGGGCATGGACGCAGGCCTGGAAGTGGCTGTGGGGAAATGTCTCTTCTGGTCATAGCCTGTCCTCTGGTGTTAAGCAAATTCTACTTCTGGTTTTGTGTGCGTGTGAAACAAGTGAGACTGCTTATTTACACGTGAAGCTCTTTGAGCAGTTGCGTTAAAGCACTTGCAGTGTGTACCAGTGGAGTAAAAAGCAGCAAGTGAAGGAAGGGTTGTCCACATTTTATGTGTTTGGACCTCAGGCAGGGAAAAAAAGCAAAGTGACTCACTCCAAAAGTCATGCAAGAAATCCTACATCTCGGTGTGTCATGCAAAGAGACAAAGCAAAGCCTTTCAAAATTATGAAGGTCGCCAAGAAGTTTAGTATTTTTGAATGTTACACAGACTTTTTTGAAAGCTGCCCGGGGAGTCACTTAACACTGACTGCATCTTACCTTCTCGTGGCTGGAGAGGTGTTGCAGGGATTGCGGGTACCATTGGTGGGTGGTTCGGTGGCCTGTGGATGCCTGTGCTGCCATGCAGTACTCTGATTAAAGGCTCCTAACTAGTCTCACGTTCCCCAGGTGAGTAACATTAGATGCAGAGCAAGACTTACCTCTCCTCAGAGACGTTTTGTTTTTGAAAGACATGAGCTGTTAGGTTGCTTTTCAGCAGATGTTTTGACCAGGGCAGGGTGGCTCTGCTGGCAGAGCACGTAGTTTCAGGGAAGGACGATGCCGCTCCACTTTGGAGCAGATGGGAGTTGAGAGGTTATTCTGACTTGCTCCACAAAAAAATTAATTTTGAGAGGAGGCTTCTAGAAATGGACTTAATGTTTGAGAAGTTCAGGATTAGCATATGAGCTGAAGGCATCTCTTAGGATAAGCAGCAGCAAAGTGGTTAAGTGTCAGTGTTTAAATGGTTGCTGTAACATGTCCAGTGCCTTGCCTCTGTAAGACAAATGGGATGCGTTCATGCCTCTGGGTGCCTTTGCTGTGGGCTCTGACTTGGAAAGACCAGACCACTTCAATTTATGTTCTGAAGAGTCTTGAGGTTAGAAATTTTTCAGAAAGTTTTCTACATGGGAAAATGGGTAGGAAATCAATAGGGAAGATAATTACTTTAACTTGGTGATATTTTCTGTGCTCCTGAACAAAAATGTGCATTGCCATGGAAGATATGAAATGCTGGACCTTATGACTCTGCAATAGTGTTTGGAGACAGTGGTGCGGACTCTTAAGAGATGGCAGTTCATACTAAAGAGAAGCCCTTATAAAGGCTAATGTTCAATGTCAGATGAGAAATATCCTAGTAAATGTATTTCATAGTTAGTATATATATTTATAGAAATGAACATTATTGGCCAGCAAGCCATAAAATGAATTGTACAATATTTTATCTTCCTTGGAAACTTGACCAGAGAACTCCTAAGTGATCTTGTACAGTGAAATACACCACCATTGCTCAACCTCCAACTGCCATACAAATGGACAAACATTTTAATGCTGAGAAATGCCTGGGTCAAACAGTAGCTTGCCATACTCCAGTTGATTTATTTGAGTTTCTTGTGGTGGCTAGGATTTCCATATTCTTCTCTTTCTCAGCCCACTATTTCATTACAGGGCGCTAACACTGCCAGGGTTTGGCGGGGGAGAAAAATCATTAAGTGTGAATATAAAGAATTAACGCAGCATCTTCACCTAGTGCTTTGCAGTTTTCAGTGATAAAATGGGAGCTGGTTTTGGCTCCCATTTTAACTTTCACAGCACAAGGAGCTTCTGGTCTGGTGGAGGGTCAGGGTGGGAGCTTTCTTCCTTTGATAGCTAATGCATGGGAAGACATCCCATCCTCAGTGCTAACCGAATAATAGCTTGAAAGCACGATGGTATGGTCTAACCGATCAATTTGTCATTGGCTGACCTGAGAGGGAAGATGAAAAAGATTCAAAAGCAGATAAAAAATTGACATTACTAGCCTTGAGTCTATTCGGCTCACAACCTTTTCTTCCTGATATTAAAGATGGCTGAGTTGCTTTTGGCAGCTTCTTTCTTTGGCTCAGACTCCCCTGCAACCTGAATGTTTGATTGCAGGAGGAAATAAAAAATAGACCTGAGCAGCGATAGGTGTTTACATGTGCTGTAAGTAGATGGATTTGTGAGTGTGTGCAGTCTCTCCTTCCACGTTGTGTCTGCATGGCCCACAAGAGCAGAGCATTTTCTGTATGTCAAAGTGTATATATATAAAATGTCAGGCACTCAGTGCTCCGGGAAGTAGTGGTTTTTTGCATATCCCAATACTTTTCATCTTCCCTGTAATGTGGCATTTGGTTAATGAATGTGCCAGAGTGAGAAAACCCAAAGGAAACCCCTGGCTGTTTTCCCAGGAACTTTATTAATTTTGCAGCTCTCAGTTTTGAGGAATAGGTAAGGTCCCTACCCCCACTCCAGAGAGGCTCTTAAGTGTTTTTTAAACTGTTATTCCTAAAGTAGGTTAAACTGTAGGTGTCTGAACCCTTACAGGACCCTCTCAAGGTGAGGCATTTGCAGAGCGTAGAGAGAGAGTCTGCTTTTCCAAATGCCCCCAGCACGGGGTATAAATGAGAAGCTACTGATACGAGACTGCCAAACCAAGCATGGTCAGAAACAGTGATTTTCAGCATAGTATCTGTAGGTGAAAGCACTGTGTAGTTATCCCTGTTTTCCCCAAGCACCTGGCTTGATCTTAGTTACATAAAAGCCAAGCGGTGCCATGTGTGTGTTCTGGTCCTGGAGCATCAGAGGGGTGTTTGGGACCAGCGATTAAGTGACTTAAATGCCACATCTCATCAGGAGCTCATGGGCTGTGAGGTCCTAAATCGCTGAGGCACAAAATAGTTTCCACCCCAATATACTTTTCCTGTTCAGTGCTGATCTGGGCACCTGAAGGTTTCTCTGCTCGTTATGTCTGCTTGTGACTTCATGCTGTGCCTGAGCTTGCCTCAGTTGATGCAAATGTTTTATCTAACTTCTTTTTCACATTTCTTTCCC